ATTCAGTGAGTACTTGTGACATTTCTCAGCCTGTTCTGAAATCAAAGTTTTTTCATTGTATAAGGAAGCCACTTTAAATTAATTTCGGAAGGAAAGTGTCAAGCATTCCCCTACAACCTGATAAAAAAGATTTAGAAACTGTCTTTGTGCGAACTTGACAGACGCGGAGGCCAATCACTAATTATCCGTACTTGTGATATGCCCATAAATACAAGACCAAGAAACACAATAGCGTAGTCGGATGGAATAGCATATTTGCAAGGTCGTGCCAAGATACTGATCCATTCCAACTAACTATCTAGAGTGTCGATTACGAGTAGTGCAACGTAACACGACAGCGTGCCAAATGGGGTGGATGCTTGGCCTGGTGCCTTCAGCTTAGTGAATCCAGTTAGACTGTGAAGGTAAGCATCAATGTTGCATCTTATCGAACTCTAGGCTATTGATTCTGGAGAAGTGTGTGACGCTTCACCGATAAAATTACTTTTACAAATGCATTCAGAATAAAAAATCTGTAACTGAACTAAAGATGATCATTAGATTTCTCTTTATCTGCAGATAATAGCCTGTCAATTCTTCAACAGTAACAGTCATTAAAATATAACTGATTAAGCTTATTTTCAAGAGGAATTTATTCTATTTGCATATGAAATATTTTATTGAAGAAGATATTATTAAACAAGCAAATAATATAGTGTAATAACAAACAATTCATTTGCAGCTAAATATGAAAACATTTCCACTTTATTAAATTAAATCGGAAATCTTCGTTCATTGCTGGTAAGTTGTCTATGTATTAGTCCCACTTTTGAAATCACTCTCTTGCATATTACTGAGTTCTCAAAAGAATACTAAGTAACTAAAAGCCTAAAGATTTCTTCATACTTTGATGCAAGATTGTCACAACTTAATCTGTGTCGCCCTTGTGGTACAAATTGCATAATGGCACAACTAACTGAGTTTATTTTGACTAGCAGACTTGATCCTAGGGAACTTTTTACGGTTATGTGATAACATCCGCTGCTGAATGAGGATACTAGTAGACGAAATAGTAAAATCAATGAAAACGCATCAGTATTATGAGTTTTGGTTATCTATCAGTTCATTGGAATTATGAGTAACTTCCGATTCATAATGCTTTATCTTGGTTGTGTTGGGTTCTTTGAACTATGTGACTTAATCACAAACTTTCGTTGTCATTCTAAATAACATTATTGACACTTAATTCGGTATTAAGTTAGATTTGAGGATTTCTATGAAATGAAACTTTGAGACACTGAAATAAGTGATTTCGTGTAAAAACCATCACTATTATAGCATATTCTGTACACCGAAATTGATGAACTAACTTTCTTGAGTAACTTGGTCAGTTCCTTCTTCAAGTTTAAAAGTGTCTACTAGAAATTTGTTTTCAATTCAAACTACAGAGAGAGAGAGAGGTATTCTGATTCAAGCACGTTAGCTGTCAAACGACATGAAGCTCTAGACCTAAACCTCTTACATTTCGATATTTATCATCAATGGTGTGTTTGAAATCTTTAGAAAATTCATTTCTACTCAAAAATTTTAACTTGATTCAGATATTTCACCGTAAGCCATTCAAACTATGACTTCCCTTCTGCTCGACTGGATTCTGCGCATGAATTGACCCAACTACGTAACAACAAATCATTCTGACATGCTGTTATCGTCATGCATGTGTCTTTTAGTTCTCCATGTAAGCAGCAGATTTCTTTACTGTTATTAAATAATATTAACCTTCAAACATCCTGGAATCAACAGGTAAAAGTTATGAATATTGCATTCATATTTTGTATTATGTCTACAACATTACTCTTTTGCAATGATGCAGAAACTAAACTACAGGTATTAGATATGCTCACATAAAACTCAGTAACATTTTCAAGGATAGAGTAACTTTCTTACCAATTAACCGTACTTAAGGATTTTATTTTGTCTACAGTTTCAACTTCTCATTTTTTGTGACAGTCTTCTTCATGGTGTATGTTGTTGATTTTTACTTCTCCTAATACGAACCAGTTTCCTGTTGATTCACGTATATTCTATTGTTACTGGTAAGCTTTGTGTTTATGATCACTGTATATATATTAACTTGGAGGAAGTGTTTATATCTGTTTACAACACGGTCTTCCAACTGATTGCACAAAACTTTGCTGTTACTTTACAAAGTTTTACAGTTCTACTGTATACTCTTAATCAAATTATTTCTTGAAACCAACGGTGAAAAGCTAATTAACTGTTCGACTAATTATGCTTAAATGTTTATATCATCATGTTCAGTTAGCCTATAGACAACAATCGAGAAACAGCAATTAACAGACGGAGTTGGTCAAATAACTTGATAAACTTTGATGTATTTTGCTAAAGATAACAATTCCGATAAATTTAGTGAAGAGAATCACTTCTATTATATCCAACATAAATTGACTGGACCAGTTCTTGAAACTTCAGTAACATAGAATAGACATGTTATTTACTTACGAGTGAGTGCAGCATCGAAATACACTTTTTCAGTAAATTGTGTGTACTTTCTGAATCGCATCTTCAACTGGTAACGTATTAAGTGATCATGATTATCTACTGTCTGCATTATTATTAATGATCAGTGCAGTCAAACAAATTTAACAATTTCTTATGGTTAAAATTGTAAATTTAAAGCAAAATAGTTACACTTCACTGAAAGTTAGACTGCCTCAAAGTTATCACTTGATTCTCACTATCTGCTTTATTTACTACTTTATAAAGTGTATAAAACAATATGTTGAATGTAATGTCAATATTTCTCATGTTGAATTCATTAGTGACCTAGAATTAAAACTTCTGATCAAATTCTATTTACTCTCATGACTAATAATATATAGATATTGTAGCTAAGCTTAATGAAAAGAACAGACAGTATGACAGGAGGAAAAACGTGAATGAAACAAGATGCAGAGGAAGCAGAAAGAAGCGAAACAAAAATGTGCAGATCATTCACTTATCTAATGTGATAGCCTTGTAGTTTTATTACTTCAAGTATAATAAACAATATACTTAGCCTGTTGATAAAAGTACACATTTGCACACAAATACTTACGATAGAAATCTCCTAAATGAAATGTTACCATCATAGAACTTAACTTGTGATGACTACACAATTTAAGTGATTTTGATATTCGTATAAGTAAATGCAATCAGCTAGAAACAGATTCACCATCTATCCTTTTAGTGATTTAACTAAAATTATGTTATGAAAAAAAGTAGTCTGCCGTTTGATACTTTGATAATTTTCCTACAGTTTGAATGATATCGGTTATCATTTATTCTCTCTCTCAATTATCACAAATACATAGTGAAAACACTTCAGCTTAAGAACAGATGAAATTTTCGGTTAGTTGCATTGAATCACCAGTACCGACTGCATGAGTTAAAATGACATATTATTACATTTAGGCATAATCAAAGTTTCAGTTTCCTTGTTCATTTCTGTTCATAAAGCTTGAATGTACTTACATTTAAGTTATCATAATTAACCATAATACACTACTCTATAAATCTCTATGACGAAGAAAATTCACAACTAAAATATGTCGTCTTGGTCTATCCTCTGGTAAGCTCTAACCATTTTCATTTCATTAAAACATTCATTGACTGACTCATGGTAATGTATGTTTTGGGGTTGTGAAACACTCGATGGTTAGCGGAGGGATCCAGAGTACGTGTTTCTTTCTATTTGGGACTCGTCGGTTGTATTCATCTACACCCAATTCAGTTGCGTCTTTCTCATTGTAGTTGTCTCTTCAAGTGCCGAAACGTTATCCACTAGTTCACCGTGGCAGGCAACTGAGAAGCAACCAATTTATGTTCTAGGAACTTAAACATTGTGAAAAATCATCTTTTTCAGTTGACCTGTTCCACTTAAAACGTGTAATGCTTTTCTTAAAATGCAGGCAACGCATTCAAAAATAGTCTCACGATTATTGAAAACGAATACATGGTAGTGATAAAGTAGAAAAACTGTTTGAGTAATTCTTTGCAAGCCATTTTTAACTGCCAATAATTAAAGCATATATTTTGAACCTACAAAAGCATCCATCATGAACAAGTCGTTTGATTCGTTTGTTCTACTTGTATTAATGGTGGTATATCACTGTAGAGTATAGAGTATGCAAGACAGTTTGCGTATAAAAGTGTATATTAAAAAACAACAGACAATTAAAATAAAATGGGTAGTTGATGATTTGGCAGTAGATTCCCTCTGTATAACATGATACGACATGCAATTTCTGAAAATCTGCAAAACAGAAATAATCGAATATGCAATGATAATTTTAAAAAGTTTTATTTAGATTTCTGAGTAAAACTGATTTCGTTGATTGTGGTCAGTCAAAGCTATGCGTAACTCCTGGTGGTAAAAAGTGACTTGACGAGACTACTTCAAAAATCAGGCTTCCATGTCTCTACTGTGACATAAAAAGTCCTACTTATTTGATTTTTGGAAGACCATCTTAAGTATCTAAACAACTGAAGTATTCAGAGACTTTTTAAAAATACACGGATCAACAAGACTTCAATCAAAAGTTCTTCAAGGAAAAAATGGTTAGTGTACAAGTAAATGAGATTTACATATCAAATCTCAAGTTTTCTTATCCTTTCGCAAAGTACCAAGAATTTTGATCTTATTACTAACATGAAAAGACAGATGCTAATCAACTGGTATCATAAAAGTAGGTTTCTAAAGTCTTAAGTAAACTCAAATTTATGAAGCATTACAAGTCGAGAAACAATATAATCATTCAAAACATCCAGAATAATGAAGATTGTTGTGATGTTCATAGATTTTTCTTAATGTTGAAATAAATCTTACCGATGTTCAGTCAGTCAATGATACATGGCGAATATAAGTAATGAAACAGGTACAATGGCACTGAAATTAACTCACCGAAATTATACATCATTAAAAGATAAGTTTCTAGATGATACCCGTGAAGAAGCCCTCTCTAGTATCTGCTATACATGCCGTCACTAGAGAAAATGAGATAGAAAGGTTATTTTGATCAAAAATATTAATTTAGTAAATTATTGCATACTTCTCATAACTGATTGTCAAATAAAAAATGCAATCATTTCTTTGCCTTCATTTCATGGTTGACTGACAATAAACATCACCCAACAAACTTCACTTTATTGGGAGTTACATAAAAGTATCCAAGTAACTTCATCAAAATAAACTATCTTTCCAGTCACATTATCGACACTCAGTCAGTTGTTTCATCCATAGTATATACAATGAGGTGGTTTTATTCTGATGCTAATCCAAGTGATGGAGCTAATAACCGCCACAACATCACCTACTAGGGTGAACCTGAAAGTCACACTTGCTACAACAATACATCTTATGAGAGTAAAACCTGAGCTCTGTGATAGATCGTCATTATATATTAAATTTTTATATTTGACATAGCAAAAATTCCAACAGCGTTGTTGGAGGACGATGCTTTGAGCAAAACTTATTGCTTATAACCATATCAAAGTAGTTGCATAGCTTCCGATATCTTGTTTTTATAGTCTTATCAACTAGTATTTCTTGTTTTTAGTGGTAGGAAACGTGTAGCCATCTTCGAAATGAGTATGCATCATTCTTAGCACACTTATTGGGTGCTATTTTGTCAAACAAATATTTGGTAATCAGTCTTTTCTCTTAACTTTTTACTAGCCTTTAATACAATTGCCTTTTCCAACCTTATACCATAGTTTTGCATTGGTGATATATTGCGATAGCTCAGATTTTCCCGAGATCTGTCATCTTAAATGTGGTTTGGTTCCCCTGCTCTGATAATCTGACTGAACAACATCGTCTGATTTTGACGTATGGAACTGATCTATCAGTGGTTGCATTCTGTTTATTAGGTCAAATTATTTTTCTAATTAAGTCAATATGATACCTAGGCTGGTAATGTTTACTTCCGCTTTAGTCGGTAGATCTGAATACCACGTCAACTATAGTCTTGTTAAGAGTTCTAAGTAAAGTTTCTGACGTTGCTTTGCCTACTGATAACTTCTACCTTGACTTGGTGATTGCACCTGTATATCAAAATGATTCAACAAGTTATGCTGGTGAACAATTATTCCCTCAAGGTCACACCACACCACAAAGGTATGTTGGACTGCGATAAAGCTAAGGCCAACTACGATTATAGTGTAAGTTGCTACACTTTGTGGGGATTCCAAAAGTGAAGTTGTACTGCTGACTAGACGGGATGTGACAGCAGTAATTTATTTCCCTTGGATGATCAGCAGTGCCACGCTGATACTTACTTACCAACGGAAAAGGAGGTTAGAAAGGTTCAGTCCCAAAAACAACACACGCCACCCTGCCCCACGATCTTCCGGTGCCGGTGTTACGGGACTTTCTTATCCAGCATCAGAAAGACTCAATCTCAAAGCAATAATTCTGATAATTCAGGTAGATGCCCCATGAGCTCTGTGTTTACACAAAATATTTTCTTTTTCAGATACCTTAAGAAGAAATAGCCGTTTACGCTTTTTGCATCCGGGAAATAGCAAACACCAGAGCACTTCTAGTTGTGTCCAAAACCCAACCAAACATAACCTATCCTTCTTACCTCAGCATCCTGCCTTGTCCTCACCCCCTGATAACAATATTCAGCCTCTTACAAACTGATCAACCTCCAAGCCTGAAACTCCTGTCAACGATCCAAGTCAGTGGAAACTATTTATAGCCTTCTATAACCCCGTTGTTTGTTTTCCATTGGATTCCTCAACATTCAAACCCAATTCCACGTCAGACAGAAGGCATCACATACCAGAATCTGAAGCCATAATTTCATGCTGTGTTTTGAGACAGGCACACAGGACTTGAGTGTATGTGTTCACTTGACTCCACCTGACCGATGGAGGAACCTTCAAATCTCGCCTTAAAAGCATTGATAGGTTTAATGGTTACCTGTCGTGGGCTTGCTGGTGTGGACATAGCATTGATTTTAAGATCCGAAAGTGCACTTTTTGATTTCATACTAGTCAACAGCCGTCTGTATGCTGTTTAACTGAATGGATCTGTGAGAACTAGCAAAAACCGTGAAACAACCGGTGACTATCCATAATTACCACCTATGCGCCCGCTGACTGCAGTTTAGATGATACAGATGACTTTTTTTTCGAAAGATGTCGATTTTGCTACAGAAAACAAAACGTTTAAATAAAGTCATAATAGCAAGCAAATGTGATGCTTAAGAAGGAAAGCTGACCAAGTAGGAAAGGCAAGTTGGAGGTATTCACGAAATCCTGTGCCAGCAAACCGATAACGGTGGTCGTCGGTTACAATTTTGTTCTGACAGCCAGTTGCTTCTGGTTGGCACTAACTCCAAGCAGAAGAAAAGGCAGTTTCAGATGGCTTCCACCAATATCAAACTGACTATGGACACAGATAGACCATATTGCTATAAACCATTATTGGAGAAGATCGACTGAAGATTGATGTTTTTCCTAGAATTCCTATTTAGAAACAGATCACGCCTTTGTAACCTATTTCCCAATGTTGCCAAATGCCAATCGATTTTCGCAACCTCGTCCAAAATGACTGATGAGGCAAGACTAATTTTAGTTGGGTTTAATCCCAGTGAGGAGTGAAAGAAGCCAAACGTAAGTTAACTGACAGTCTTTGCAATAAATGAGACCAGAGGTGAGTGGAGAAAGTGAAAGAGATGGAGAAGGCATCAAAATTGGTAATACCCTGTGGTTATTTAAGCGCAATAATGAAATTAGCAAGAAAACGACGGTTAGTGAAACTATCATCGAAGTGATGGGACCCTGACAACCTCTCAGAACAGAAGACTAAAACGTTGGGTGGAATAATTTAAAGACTGCTTCGGTTGGCCACAGAGACAATTTATTTACCCAGTATTCAGCATTAACGACAGTGGGACGTAGATGTCTATCCCCAAACCGTACTTGAAGTTGAAAAAGCTGTTTCCAACCTGAAATGATGATAAGTAGCAGCAGGACCTGGTGGTTTTTCACCTAGTGTTTTTAAGGATGAAGATACTGAGTAGAGTAACTGAGGTAATAAGTATTGTATGGAAATCAGAAGTAGTTCCGTCAGACTGGTTTACTTCACTGATCATCCCCGCCTATAAAAGCGAAAGGTCTTCTTTTGATAACAATAACAGAATCAGTTTAACTAAAATCGTACCCTAGATCCTAGACTTCATAGTTATACAATATCAAAATGAAGCTTGAGAACAGCAAACTCGAAGAAATCAGGCAGACTTCAGACCTGGACAAGGGAGCATGGATCAGGTTTCCACCCTTCAACAGGCTCTGGAACACAAATATACTTGCTGGTTGCCAACACTCACCATATTTCTTGACCTGAAGACGCATTTGACTCTTAACCGTGGGATGTTGCGGCATTATCTGGCTGTGAAACGAGTATCGAGCCCGAACCACTGCCTACCTCAACATGCAGTGGTAGGAGAACTTGCATCAAGTTGTAAAAAGGCTTTGGGTAGTCGAACCAAGTCGTGGCGACAGCTTATGAACCCTTTGGCTGTTGGTCTGAGCCGTGCAAGGAGGTCTACACTTTCTGTCTGGGATCCTAAAAATTTTAGGAATCAGTCATTGCCAACTTTTGATGACATGGATTAAAATCTGTCACAGTGGAGCAGACGTATCCACCTTTTGACGTTTTTTAAAACTTGAATATTCTCACTAACCGCTATCTTCAGTACCATTCACCCTTGACTTCTTGGCATTCTTTTTCTGTTCAGATGTTCTTTGAATGCTGGTGTGAATTATAGAAATCTGCAGCGATGCACTCGTGTGTGATGTTCTACGTTGATTTTGGCTGTGTTTGTCTGCTACCTGCCTATCTGTCTGTCTCACTACCCATCCTCTCCTTTCCCTACACGGTACATAATATAAACCCTCATTTGTTCTTCGCTTTACTTTGCAACTCAACAAAGATAATTCCCTTTGTTCACCTTCGTACTCTGACTCGTAAATGAAGTATATCGAATCCATTTTAGAGGTTGTATATATTAAGAAACCATTGATATATTTTGAAACTTCATCTAGTAAATAATTCTGTGCATTATATCAAATAGAGAACCCAATATGGTGGGATATATATTCTTTCCTCATCTTAGAAAGAGTTTTTCCGTGATGTCTTTGTTCAAAAGAATACTTAGGCAACTGTAATATGCCAGAACTAACTGAAAAGTGAGTTTAATTTCGATATTATTACTAGCTAATCATGTACAAAGATTAACTGAGTAGGTTAACTACCCAATTATTGGCAGTTACTCTGCTGTGTTGTAAAGTGTATCTTTTCAGCGAACTGAAAGAACCTCACCGTAAAAAGGGGCAGTGAATTTAACAATGAACTGAGTCATATACGTTTGGGTTGTTCCAGACTGCTTAATAACGATCAAACTGAGAAAAGATGACTAGTCGTTGGTGGGTTAATCTTCAGATATAAGTAAGAGGCATAATGGACAGTTTTCATCAAGCTATTCATGTTTTCATCAAACACTGGTGTCAAATTAAGAAAAGATGCACCAGCTAAATACTAGAATTTGTCAGAAGGAGAGTGACTTTAAAGGCCACCCTAGCAACTACTGAGATAACCAGTCAAGTTTGTTCTTTTTTACATATCTACCTTCCCAGTTGATTAGCTATTTCATCAGTTGCAAGCGTGGTCTTTAAAGTCGATACAGAAGCAAATGTAACAGCAGCAATTACGGTACTAGTAATCATGCCAAGCCCAACAAACATTACCACTGAAATGCCATAGCCTTTATGCTTATTCACAAACAGACGTACGGTATGGCTTTTCATTGGTATCATCTATTCTACCTAATCAGAGTGTTGTTCCACAAAGTGAATCTTAAACTAATGTGGACTCAACGTCTCAAATAGAGCTATTTGTGCACTACATGGGAACGTGTGGTAGTGGCAAAATAGTCAAGTACTGAACACTATACAAGAACTGTAGAACCTTTAAATTGGTGTTTACTTACTCGAATATGTCCACTGTTTGACGCCGATAAGGTGAAGATGGGTATGAATATCCATAAAGTGAGCTTATTTAAATATGTAATCAGAAACAAAAATGAAAAAGATTAGGAGAATACAAGGCATAAATATCCGAAATCAAAATATTTTTAATATATATGTATATAAAATATTTTTACATCAAGTGGACTTTCTGAACGGTGCTAGATTCACCGATCTGATAAATTACTCCTCAAAAATTATGATCACCTAAATGACAACAAAAGCTAATAACAATAGAAGCTTCAGAAGTCTACCTATTTACCTGACAAAATATGACACCATAAAATTAATCAAGTCTTATGGTTTACAAACAACTTTTCAAAATTCTGCTTTAAGATTCACTTCTAATTTTTGATAGCCGAAACTATGCTAAATCTTTTAATTGTTGCTGTTAAAAGCATTTGTTCAGAAAATATTATGGAATGAATGAAATATAGTGAGGAAATACTTCAAAATCAGTCAGTCCGAATACCTTCCTAAACTGAAGTACTGCTTAGAGCTCATTAGTGACATGCTTCATAATGGAACGTTCCGTAGTCTTACTGAGAAGTGATGACATATGGCACAAAGCAATTTGCACGTAATGATGAATACACAACGATGGGATCAGATGATGGTTGCGCTATATTGCTAGTTGAAAGAAGTAGAGAAATGTGGGTCATTGGGATAAAACCTAACAGCTGAAATATAATATGCTCTGTATGAGACCTGATTGTATTGGTTTCCATCCTTGGTGGAGTCGTAAGCTCACGCTGCTGAGTAGTCCCATACTAAGACTAAACAGCTGTTCAGTGCCACTAGACTTTCAGTGGTTCGTGTCTAACACTACCTTGAAAATAACACGTGTTCATAAATGTGAGAAACTAATTAGATAATCATCATCTCCGTATGAAAGCACTTGGAATTATATCCCATACATATTCCGACTGATATTCAGATAAAAATAGACCACCGTTCGGCGAAACAAGTAAATTTAGGTACAACGGTATTCATTTTGAATAGAATAAGTCAGAGAGTATCCGAATTACCCTATTTAAAATCACTTTAAATATCCCAATCAGAACTTCATCGAAAAATTGAATCACCTAATAAAATAAGTGAAATAGTGCCCTGCTTTTCATCTTAGAAAACACTAGTTGGGTATTCATCTGCTGTAAGGTACGCAAAATGTATTTACTTCGGGTAAAACGTTCACAGGAAGAAACGATGACCAATCTTTTTTTATGTTGAAATTACTGTACTTACCTATTATCAAATAGACCAATATATGACTGGGTTCGACGCAGACGAGAAGATGGGTAGTAGCTAGATCCAAGTCCACTAGAATAGTAACTGAAAGAATAATGGTTTACAAAATACGTTGTGTATGTATTTAACAGAGTACACAAGGATTAAACTAGGTAAAATTGAGATGAAAAAATTAGTAAGAACCAAAACTAAAGACAGACAAACAGACAGTAACTACCTGAAACCTCGAATTACTGCATATAAGTGCAAGTTGCCATACCTTATATCATCACATCAAGCGGAAATTCACCAAGATAGAAGACAGAAAAATTTGTGAAACAGGAAGATTTGGAGTGAGGGAACTGAAATTCAGCATGACGATTAGGATAAAGATAATGTTTGAATACATCTGCACCGCTGATATCGATTCTGAGGCATACCAAATGAAGCCTCCAATCACTGGTTTCTGTTGCCATATGGATTTAAACCAGACAATCTACATTTGTCTTGCACAGCTTTGAAATGAAATAGAAACTTCAGTGCCCGACTCCATGCTTCATTTTGGTAAGGTCTAACCATTTGACAAGCTGAAGCTACTTAGGCTAACATAGTGTGAAGAGGCACACAGTGAGTAAGCATGCGTGGCACATGTCCTAGCAATCTGAGGCGATCAAATTTCACAACATGATCCACTGAATTACCCAACCTCCCTCCTCCTTAATCCCTCAAAGCCAAGCTACTGCATTACTGTCCTACTGACTACACAACATACAGCCTATATTACGAAGTCAACGGTGGTCGAACAACTGAAGCCTGCCTTCTCATGTCATCCACCTGGAATGACCGTGCTTCACACTTATATCATAGATACGAGAGAACTGCAGCGTAGTACTCTCCACACCCAACAGGCAATCGGATATCAACAGGCACCACAAATGACAGAAGTTTACAAAGGCTGGTTGACACTTTTTATCCATGTCTATATTTCCACGGTCACTGACCAATCACAGCTGATCTAACTTCTCAAGTCAGGATTCTCCACAGCTTCACTCCCTATTAAAACATACCAATACTGAACGACTTGAGTAATTAGAAACCATTCAGGCTGATGTGTAATATTTCCGTAGTAGCATTTTGCTACCTGTTGTTAGACAAGGCACCAATTCAGACCAGTTCTCTTCTGGAGCAACAACTTCCATTCGAAACTTTAGAAATGGTAATTGCATACATAAACTATATGATCTGCACTGGATAATAATACAGATCGGGGTTTGGTGAAAGACATCCTTTAGTGGAAAACTCAAACCGGTTTATGACAAGATGTGTTCCATCCTAGCATTTTCGGGTTGTATAACAAATACTCACAGTGTACATAACATGTGCCTTTCCTTTCAAAACTTTCATATGAGTTCTGTCCCACGGTATATAAAGATGTAAGTAAACAACTGGGACTCAAATGTACTGATTTTTCCATTTGCATCATTACTTGGTGGTGATATTTTTTCTAAATGATATGTCAATAATGACAAAAAAAGTTGAATAGATTTCCAGAAACTACTTTTCATGAAGAAGAAATGTCTAGACGCTAATATATATATATATATATATATCTTTTCCACTAGTCTCAAATAATGAGATTGCTTTATACAATTTTGACTGTAAATAAATGGATAAACATGGTATTAAAGTGGTTATCGTTCAAAGAGTCTTTCAACAGTGCAAAAGGTGAATTACAAAATATATTTCCCAGAAACAACATAAGTTTACTGAATTATTCAATAGTGTCCACTCCATAGATGCAATGAATAATGGTAAATTTGAAATAATGTTTGGAAGTGATAGTCGATGAATTTAGGGTTGCTATTGGCAGCATCATATTCAAACACAGTGAAACGTTTTTCCGGAAAGCTGATCTAGCCCAATGTATGACCTGTGTATCAGAATAAATTTGGCCTAAAATGTTTAACTAGGATTTAAAATTCATGAAACTGCGAATGTGAGAATAGTGTTCATCAGTGCACCGGGATTTAATGAAGGTAAAATTATGACTGAAAAACATGACTGAAGACTACTGACTTGATTTCACTATAGAGGAATTTATACCTGGATAGTGAAAGGACTTGTCAATGCATGAATGCTGACCAACCTTATAAGTGCAAGATATTTCAATAGTCCAATTGGAAAATAAATGAAATGTTCAAAACTATTACCAGCAAAATTCATTTGTACAATCACTTAATGCAATAACTAGACTGAAAAGCTGCTGGTTATAATTGCTATCACTACTGTCAAAGAAAACTTTGAATAGGATGACATTAAAAGATACAATAAACAGTATTAGCTGACCATAAAATTCACATCTCCTATTTTGAAGAAAACAGAAGCATTTAAAACTACTACCTTTCGAATATAATACAGTAACTATGTTCTTTGTTTACTAGTTTGTAAGCTTTTATGGTGTAATTTTTAGTCTTCATTCAGTAAAACAGAATTATAGAAAAAAATATCTGAAAACTCAAAAATGACAACCTATTTTTGAAGAGACTGTATTCTGAAAAACCGGAAATGTAACCAGAACATTACTGCTTACTGGTATAAAATTTGAGGTTGCAAATTTCATTTTACAATTCAAAATATAAATCAATAAATTGCTTGTGGATTGCTATCATACGACCTGAATGGGTAAAAAGAACAGGAGAGAAATTTTTTTATTCCTCGATGCTGCATAGGTCATTGTTGAAATGGAGGTTACTATGACAATACACAACATTTCATCTATTGTATCCAGAGTTCGATATATTATTTAACAAAAATCAAGATATCAGAAAGTAACAACCTACCTAGAAGTGGATGGGTAGTCTCGGTAGATATAAATACGTTTGCCATAATTCAAGTCATTCTGTGAAATAATAATAATAACGCAAAAATCAGATTGATCATGAAACAAATTTACATTTTATGTGTACAAAAATTGAGAGCTGTGGTAGAACGTAACAGATTTTCAAAGAAAACAGAAGTGGCATTCGTGTATTCTTAAACTCATATGTTTGTCAGTAAATCTTCTTGAGGAGCTTCAAAGGCTGCATGGTAGATTTTGATAAGAACATTTCTGCAGCTACCCATAAAGCAAGGAATCTGAGTCATTATTATCTGCCTACAGCCTAAACGAGTGGGAATTCGTACATTTAGATTATTGCAGAATGAGATGTATCATTGTAGAAGCTACAGTAACATGTTCATCTACAGTTAATAATTACTACCAATTTATTGCACTACTTTGGGGATAATAGCTGAAAAATCTTGGGCAACACAAATAACTTTGCATTGAAAGGCAGATCAAAAGTGATATTCCGCCGAAACGTCTTTCTAAAACCTATTTAGAACCCTGCAATTTATGATGCTTTTCTGAAAGCACATTCTACCAGCTAATCTTAAAGCCTTGGGTTTGTTCCATTCTCAGCGTTGGATGAATTAAAGATGAAGTGGATATTAAAACACTTCATTGTGTGAATAACACACTTGCTATTACCTTGAAAGGTTCCAGAAAACAAGCATGCTGTCCTGATGTCCACAATGATTCTGAATGTCAAATGTCTATCGGTTTGTGAATATGCCTGCTAGAAGTTGGTGAACAGAAATTTCAACCAATTTTACTTGACTAAAACTAACTACCACTCAACTCTTCCCATAATTTAGTAATATTCCATCCTTTAGATTAATTCACTAGGTTTTATTAGGGAACATTTCAACGAATAAGATGACTATTCTCCAATTCACAGTCCTATTAAACTAAATGTAAGCATGAGCAGGCATAAATAAAATACCTATGATGCCGTAGCCGAGTGATACGAAGCGACAAAAGAAAAGTCACTTCTGAGTAATTTAAGAAAATCGTGATACCTCACCCAAAGTTTATTTAAATCCAAAATGATTCGAATTAACGGTGACATTCTGCCGCTCAGAATTAGGTTTCTTGCCTCAAATGATCATTTGTATAAAAGCGAATTAAAAAGTCTTTCAAAAAATTTGTAGTACATGACAATACAGTTCTAGCCTAAGGCAGTCAACTTTGCATATGAGCACGACATATATCTATCCCAAAAGTTACACATCCTAATTATAGAACATAAGTCATTAAGCATAAGTTGACAGAGATAGTCATCCTATATATGGTTGGAAAAGTTGTTGTTATGATGCAACAAATGGCTTAAGTACTGAAGGGTTGAGGATTTTGAGTGGTATCGGAATTTAATATATATAAAAATGCAAACGACTATGACAACCAGAAACCAAGTGAGTATGCACCTTTAATAGCTTTTAAGGCAGAAAATACAAAGAGATTAACTTAGGAAGGCTAAAAACAAGACCTCCATGTTCATTACATACGAACTCCGCTTAAATGTTCTTGAAATTAGTTTCTTACACATATTTTGTGAATGAGACACTCAAAACTGCATCGTCTGGTACATTTATTCAGCAAATATTCGTAACCTGTTCGTTTAATACTGAGGAAGTGCAACTTCAAGATGCATTTAAAATCCATAAAACATTGGCTTATTAGGAGTAAAGTAGTTTACTAGAGTAGATAATTTGACAACAGATTTGTTGCACACATAAGAATCATGTGTAAGCTTGTTTTCAGAATTATCCTACACAAGAAAACAATTGGCAGCTTAATTACTGACATAGTACCCAGCACACAGAAAACCTTCCACGGACCAATTTAGGCCCTCTATTCATTTCCGGGTCACAAGAAAGTAAACAGATCATCCTATGAATGCATATGAGAACCAGCTTGATCAATGAACAGTCCAAGATTCTGGGCCTATAGTCACTCAACTGATTAGAATATCTCGGGGAAAGTAAACCCGAAAATAAAACGTACGCAGCAGATTTGAAAGGTGATGAGCTGGTTGGATTTTTTCCATTTCACCAATTTCGCAACACTGATACGCAGAAGTTGCCACATTTACTGATCTGAATGGGAAATTTTACTTCACTTATGAAGAAGGGTTGTGACAGTTTGGTTGTGAAAGTAGCTTAGAGAGGGCAAATTATTCTAATTGGTGCTCTCCTTATCTGTATTCAGGGACGTAGCCATTTGAGCACTTACCATGAGTTATCCGTACATATGATAATAATCAACGATATACACACCGAGTCTCCACTCTCACCATTTCTATTTAACTTTGCTATAAATTTGCTGATGTGTATAACTTGCCTACAGTTCAATAGCACTTTATCTATCATTCAGACAGCACTAAATAAAAATGCGCCAGTAGCCTACGGTAGGCAGATGAATAGGTTGGAAAGTGTTAGCTACCTTAAACACACTAATTGGAGGTAAGAGTATAGTTGTCATTATGTTAACAACCTTTGCGTGTAGAGAAATTTGCCTCAAACAACTTATATTACAACGGTATGCAATAAAGTGACTGGATATGTCGACCAGTTTTCTTAATTTACAAAATGTACATGCAATAAATGTCTGACAGGTGAACAAGACTCAGAATGGATTTAATAAGCTGATTCGGCACTTGTGAACTTATGCTATCTAAACAGCCAACGCAACATCCGACCAGTAGCCAAGAGGTGAATATACTGTACAGTAATCCCTTAATTCTTATTTTTTGCCTGTGAGGTAAGGTCAATGACAGCAAAATGCATGAAGTGACTTCTGATTACCAGTGTATTAGTTGAAGTGCTCACCTGTGTTGGGATCATTAGGCAAACATTGTTGTGGAAAAGTGTTGTATGCCAGGTAATCAATGCAACTGGATCAAGTAGAACATGAACATGCACTAATGATGTTGCTTTTATTTCCTTGGTATATACAAATCTATTATCTTCATCTACGAGTAACGCCAGTCTTATTAGTAATATATCGTAAAGGCATTTCAGAGAACCAACCCAACCAATCAGGCATCCACAATATCCTTGACTGTCAGTCTTAAAAGTGGTGATAAATTTTGATAATCGATCTTCAATCGTCATCATGTTTGAAATTACTGGTAAGATACCTTCAACGACAGCTCACAATTTACTACAGCTCCACAGATTTACTCACCTTTTACTGCTGACAAAAGTATAAACATTTCCTCAGCACTATTGTCTCTTTCATGACATCACTTTTGCTCACTTTCGCATCAATCTATTACCGATTGCCTTCGTTTTCAGTCTTGCTGAAAGACGTGGCAGTAGGAAGTAACCTAACTTTATTCTTAGCATTACGCTAATCATTTTTTCGATAACAGCTTTAGTGTAAGTTTAGTGACTCCAAGACAAGCACCAGCCTTACAATGATGTCACTATGCAGAAAACTCTATACAGGATGCTGAAACCACAGTAGGAATGACAGTTTGGATTGAAAAACTAGTTGTAGTTTGCCACAGTTTAAATAACAAATTCCAGCTACCTATACAAATCTGTGTATTCAGGGATAAAAACTCATACGACGTACAGGATCTTTCAGTAAGAAATACCAGCAACCCTCTAGGTTAAATATTTCAACTACTTTTTGATGGAAGCATGTATAAAGTCTAATTGTTCACATATTTTAGGAAAGCTAACGAAAGTATTTCCGCATTTGTCTACCTCTCAGTTCAAATTTAGATATAAAAAAATATTTGTGAGCAGTTACCTGCTGTATAGAGGTGTTTCACTGTCTAAATATATCTTTCAAAAATCAGAATATAACCGGAAATCAATCACTTGATTTGAAACCGTCTCATCAAGTAAGTGCTGAAAATTTAATTTTTAACACTCCATATAAGTATATACGTACACACGTTATTATGGCAGACGTGATTTCCAGTTGTTCTGTGGGCAAAAACACAAGGAAGGTAATGAATTTTCAAAGAATTTCTAATGAAAACACAAGCAGTAGTCCATATATATATATATATATATATATATATATATATATATATATATAAAACGTCGAAGGCTGAGAATATCTTGGTAGCTATATTCTCTTTGGATAACCTTAAAATATCCCCCCACAGCATAGAAATATGTCGCGAAGTCCATTCCAACAGGCATTGATAGACAAAATTTAGTAGAAAACGTATTTTACTGGTAAAAAGTACTCACACTAATTCTTTCTGGATTTCTCGATAAGTAACTATAACTAGAATTCATCCAGGGTCTGAAGTTTCCGTTTGAATCGTAATAACCAGGTAAATCTGAATCGTAATATGACATTTTAGAGATGTATCACACAATGATACACGAATACGTATTACGGCTTTATAAACACACAAATGATTCACATGATTAGAGACATTTAAAACAATTACTCGCGAAAGTAACATGATGAGACAATATTCGTTGAAATAAAAACTTTTGTTTCCATTCAACTGAAAAATTCGAACAATAAGATTTTTAATACTGATATAAAAAGAGAGTCTGGCTGAAGCAAATGTCATCTTTGCATCAGCCTCTTGATGTTGAGTTGTACGTACGAGCAGAAAGTACACCAAAGGCAGTAGTTTAAAATTCAACGACGTTTATAATTGATTCCGAATTTGAAAGGATGCGTAACGTCATAGATGGCCACTTCTGACATGACGTACCTGTATGCGCAGCTCGACTTTTAAAGCCACCATAGCAACAATCAAATTACCGACGAGATTCAACGCTGATACTGACCTTCAAAGTCTTAAATTGATTCGCTAAGCCTGAGGCATGCAAGTGGGCATCCACATCAACTGGCATGTTGTCGTGTCACGCTGCACTGTCTGTGCTCAGTTCTACAGCTAGCTAGTCAGAAGGAATCGGCACTTTGGCACGGTCTGTTATATTTCTTTTTCCGCCCAGCCAACGTATAGTGTTCTTCCTGAGTCTCGCACTAATGGGTACTTCACAAGTTCGAAGAGTTGGTAATTTGCCTCTGCCTCTGCCTCTGCCAAGCTAGCGCAAAGACAATTCCCAAGAAAGCATGAGGTTGTGGAAAACGATGAGCTTTCACAGAAGATAGTGTTGTTAGGTTAGCAGGAGTTATGGGCAGATGCAAGTGGCGGTAAACGCTAACTTTTTATATCACAGACGTAGAAGCGAAGCTTTCTATCTCTTTTGATACTGCTACGCACATTGGAATTCCCCCCGAGACCGAAACCGAACATCGTCGTGACCCGATCATCAATTTACCGGGCGACAACAAGAAGTTGACCACCACATTTGGAAAGAGGTATGCCTATCTTAAATTTCAGGAAAATTGTTCACCTGATTTTCTTTCTAGCTCTTGTCCCCATGTCCAGCGGTGGCACAGATATAATAACCAACGAAGATCAGTTCGTAGTCACTTGCTGACAGTGGACGATCGACAACAGCACAATCAATGGGCTAGGCCATCCATGCCGTGATCATTAGGAACGAAAAATCTCACCAACCCTTATCACTGCTAGGCAAATATTTGAAGTTTTGGTAACCAGCACCACTCATACTCATAAGTTATCCATCACAAAACAACCGCTGCGCCATAAAGTCACTGAAAGCAAACTTCCTGTCCCTGGATAAGTTGAGAATTGAAAAGAAGGAACCCGACGATATTCTCCGTCTCTGTACTATCTAACCGTAGAATAATCCATGAGCCTCGTTACTGTGTGTGCCACTGCCGAAGGGTAGAAATGGTTGCCATCTGACTGGATACTACCGACAGCTCAAACCAAAACAGCACTAGACTGTTGCCTCACACCCTAGACCCATGGCCTAATGGAGACTTCCAGTGCAAATAAATATTTTTTCAATTTTTAGTCACAGTGTGTCACTAGATACTCATAGAAGCAAAGACCATCTCGAAAATAGTCACTGCAAGATGCTTTGGATGGTTTAAACTCCCGCAGGTGCTTCTCAGCACTTTAGATGCGTCAAAAATGTTCTGATGCTTCATTAATGATGCCTTTCATGGCCTGGATTTATCCACGTGCATATCAACGACTATCTTGTTGCAAGTTCTGGTAGGAATGATCTCCTCATTCAGCAGGATAAAAATGCATGCCATCACAGCAGATATTCGAACATGACATTTAGGAGTGGAATGGCTTGATTCCCTTGCGTAAGCTGCTTACGACGAAGGCGTATTCCCACTTGTAGATAAAGTGGCGGCGATTCCGGACCACCCGGAACCAGAAATTGCAAAACAAAACCCCATTTTCAGTGACCTTAATGGACACCACAGAAGGTAACCTGTCTGCTTTGAATTTCTATAAGACTGATGACAAGTATGCTTCGTGAGGATACAAAGTGTATACGCCCGAATACCCTAGAAAATCAAAGAGTCTCGAAGTGCAAGCTCACCATTGCAAGCGCAAACATGTCCTTACATCATGACCCGGTGTTTTCTTTCTAGTATAACCGTCAACTAATCCAAACCAGGATCATCTACTACCATTTTTCTAGATATTGGCGAAAGAACTCCATAAAAAATTCTGCGTAGAACCCGTAGCTACGTGCCGTTTCGTGCACCATATTCGAAATCTCATCGCTTTTCACGATTTTCTCATTTTCAAAAACTATCAGTGGCTGAGGTTTCCTCCGACTCAGGAATCGATGAGCATATACCATGGGATGCAAGACAGTTGGGCTAGATTTGCCCGTTCCCCTTGAATATCCATTACGTAGCTCATCCAAATAATCCTGTAGCTAATGATGGGCTGATAAGAGAAACATAAACACATGGAATTAGGATAACAAATTTCGAACCGCCATGTAACTGAGCTGAAGATGTCCTGTGAGGTAAAGTGTTCACAGCAGACGAAGAAGTGAGGCTGCAGTCAAACCGTTCTATGGTTGAGAAATGGACAGTCGGGTTCGCTACAATCTCCACCGATCCTCGGGATACTCACAAAGGACAAAAATGATCAAAGTGGCGCCATGAGCTCTCCGTTCGTGATGGTTCCTTCATATGTCCAAATTCGGCTGTTCACGCGGTATCAGCGTGACGTGGAGTTAACGTAGAAAGCACTTTGATCTAAATATGAAATTTAAAGAACTAGACACCAGTGAGTGACAGACTCTATCAGAAAGACAATATGTCGATCAAAAAACTGAAAATATTTTTGCCACGCATAACAAAACTCACCTAGTTTCCTAAATGAAATGCATGAGCGTTTAAGACAGTCACACAGGCGCTGACCAGTAAGTTGGATACATCAAGTGAAGAGGCCACCACTGCCACAGCCCCCACCCAAGTTAAAAACAAAACACAAAACGGAACAGTGGCAGCCCTTTGAGGACTCGCGATACTAGACCCAACCACGTAAGCGCTCATCCCGCAAAAATGTACAACCAGACCTCCCCTCTCACCAGGCACACTCCAATATGTATGTACAACAGCCTTAGGGGGCCAGGAGGGAAGGTAGCAGAAATGAGGACGCTGCATGAACATCAGCACTCCGGCATCGTAGTCATTGCCGAATCCTGGCTCTCGCCGGACATCTTCGACGAAGAGATGCATGTTGCTGGCATGGAACTCTTCCGCAGGGACAGGGAACATGGAGTAGGAGGGGTGGCCCTCAACGTAAACTCCAGTGTAGAGGCAGGGGTGGATAGCGATACGGCCTTAACCCAGCTCCCAGAATCTCTATGGTGCCACTTCACTCTCCATTGTACCAAATACCTGCTAGGAGTCATAAATCGGTCCCCCACCAGCTCCTCTACACATAAGGAAATGGTAATCAAGGCGATCTTAACGACTTCCTCTGCAAATTGCGATTCCGTAATCATCGCCGGCGACTTCAACACCCCGTTCATCCTCTTCGAGACGGAAGGGAGACGCATCAGATCCTTCAATCAGATGCTGAAGGATGCAATTAAGACTGCTGGCCTCTCAGAGAAAGCGGGTGATGCTACACGCTGGGGACCTAACGGAAACGCATCTCGCCTTAACTACGTTCTGACGAACTTCTCATTGAGGACGTTTGCATCCAACCTCCCTTTGGCCTTAGTAACCACCCAGTAACAACCTTCTCCATTATTACTGGGGAGGCTCTGCAACTGGAGACGTCCAACACCTTCCCTTGCTACAGCAAGGCCAACTATGAGGCCATAGGGGACCATCTCATGAATGCATCATGGCCGGTAGACTGGGCGCATCTCACAATAGATTAACACTGGTTGGGGGTGAAGAAAATAATCACTGGGGCCATCAGTCACAGTGTGTCAGAAGTAACACACAGACAATCAGTGAGAACCTCATGGTCAAAGCGCGGGACACAGAGGCTTATCCAGAGCAAGAAGCAGGCTTGGTTCAAGTGGCGTATATCACGTAGGGAGTCTGACTACCTGAACTGCGAAAGGATTCACAACCGCTGTAACATTAGAGTGCCCAGCGACAGACTTTTCTATCAAACAAACTTGGAGCGAGGTTACAAAGCAATCCTAAAAACTTGTACCGCTTCATATGGAGAAGAAAGTCGATAAGTGAGGGGCGAATCCTGTCACAGGCCATGAAGGGAGTATACTAGGCAGTCCAGAGATTGCCGAGCGTTTGAGCTCACACTTCCAAGCCCAACTTAGCACTGACACAAGAACCACACAGACTCGCTACGACACCGACCAGGTCGCAAATAACGAATACCTCTGTCACGTCTCTATCACAGGGAAAAAAGTGTTGGAGAAACTATCTGGGCTACGTCCAGGCAAGTCCCCTGGCTGCGATGACCCAAAACCAGTGGTTCTAGAAAACTGCGCCCAGATGCTTACTAAACCACTTCGCAACCTTTTTGAGCACTCAATAGACTCGTGCGAACTCCCTAAAAAATGGAAGAGCGCCATCTTGTCACCCATCTTCAAGGAAGGAAACAGAAAAGGCCCTAGCAGCTACAGGCCAATTGCCCTACTCTCTATTGTGTCGAAAGTGTTGGAAAGCCTGGTAGCTGACACTATCTGGGAATTCCTCAATAGGGATAACACTGTCCATACTGCCCAGCATGGCTTTCGGAGTGGTCGCTCATGTGCCACCAACTTACTAACTGCCTGGGACACAAAGCTGGGAAAACAGAAAACCGGTACATGTTGTATTTCTCGACCTAGCCAAAGCATTTGACAGTGTCCCACCCACAGTACTGCTTCACAAGATCATGTCAGCTGGTATAAGTGAACCCCTACTCTCTTGGTTCAAGGAGTACCTAAAGGGAGGCAGTTCTGCACTAAGGTAAACAAAACAAGGTCGGAGTGGAGACCCTCGACGTCAGGAGTATCCC